CGGGGTAGACCTTGTCCCCGACGGAGGCCCTCGGAATTCGGACGCCGGAGCCCGCTCCCGCCGTCACCTTCGGGGTAGACCTTTTCCCCGGCGGAGGCTCCCGGAACTCGGGCGCCGGGGACCGCGCCCGCCCCGTCTCCTTCGGTTCGGGGTAGACCTTGTCCCCGGCGGAGGCCCACGGAATTCGGGCGCCGGAGCCCGCTCCCGCCGTCGCCTTCGGGGTAGACCTTGTCCCCGACGGAGGCCCTCGGATACTCGGGCGCCGGGGCCCGCGCCCGCCGGCTCCTTCGGTTCGGGGTAGACCTTTTCCCCAACAGAGGCTCCCGGAACTCGGGCGCCGGGGACCGCGCCCGCCCCGTCTTTCGGTTCGGGGTAGACCTTTTCCCCGGCGGAGGCTCCCGGAACTCGGGCGCCGGGGCCCGCTCCCGCCGTCTCCTTCGGTTCGGGGTAGACCTTTTCCCCGGCGGAGGCTCCCGGAACTCGGGCGCCGTAGCCCGCTCCCGCCGTCGCCTTCGGGGTAGACCTTTTCCCCGGCGGAGGCCCTCGGAATTCGGGCGCCGGAGCCCGCTCCCGCCGTCGCCTTCGGGGTAGACCTTTTCCCCGGCGGAGGCTCCCGGAACTCGGGCGCCGGGGACCGCGGCCGCCCCGTCCTTCGGTTCGGGGTAGACCTTTTCCCCGGCGGAGGCCCTCGGAACTCGGGCGCCGGGGCCCGCTCCCGCCGTCTCCTTCGGTTCGGGGTAGACCTTTTCCCCGGCAGTAGCCCTCGGAACTCGGGCGCCGGGGACCGCGGCCACCCCGTCCTTCGGTTCGGGGTAGACCTTTTCCCCGGCGGAGGCTCTCGGAATTCGGGCGCCGGGGCCCGCGCCCGCCGTCTCCTTCGGTTCGGGGTAGACCTTTTCCCCGGCGGAGGCCCTCGGAATTCGGGCGCCGGCGCCCGCGCCCGCCGTCTCCTTCGGGGTAGACCTTTTCCCCGCGGAGGCCCTCGGAACTCGGGCGCCGGGGCCCGCGCCCGCCGTCTCCTTCGGTTCGGGGTAGACCTTTTCCCCGGCGGGGCTCCTTCGGAACTCGGGCGCTGGGGCCCGGGCCCGCCGTCACCTTCGGGGTAGACCTTTTCCCCGGCGGGGCTCCCGGAACTCGGGCGCCGGGGTCCGTGCCCGCCTGCGCCTTCGGGGTAGACCTTTTCCCCGGCGGTTGCCTCCCTGGTTGACCTGTTCCCGGCAAGGGCCCTCGGAACCCGGGCGCCGGGGTCCGGGCCCGCCGTTGCCTCCCGGGTGGACCTGTTCCCGGCAAGGGCCCTCGGAACCCGGGCGCCGGGGCCCGGGCCCGCCGTTGCCCCCCGGGTGGACCTGCTCCCGGCAAGGGGCCCAGAGCTTCCCAGCCTCCCCGACTTCGGACCCCCTGCCGGATGGACCTAGTCTCCGAGCCCGGTGGGCTCTTGCTGAGAGGGTTTAAGGAGTTACCAGAGAGGTTGCCGGAAGCTAGAGGTTGCCGGTAGATAAAGGAGCGAGGAGTCGGGCGGTGCTCGGCAAACCCCTGCCGACGAAGCGAGCCGAGGGAGGAGTTCCCGCCGGGAAGAAGAGCAAAAGACCCCTAAGGACGACAGGCTCCGGGGGGAAAACCTCGCCGCCGCCGCCGCCGCCGCCGCCGCTGAGACGCAAGCCCCCGTCGCCGGCGAGCGGCGGAGATGGCAGGGCACGCGGGAAAGCCGAGGCGAGGAGAAGCTTATTCCCTCCCGCTGCCCGCAGCTGCTGTGGGCTGCCGGGAGGAGGGGAGGGGCTCGCCTAGTCGGCCAGCCAACGGGAGGCGACGGGGGGGGTAACGCCCAATAGGAAGCCAGGGGCCGGGGAGAGACAGGGGAGACGACCAATGGGGTCGTAGATGGGGGCGTGGGGCCGGCTCTGGGAGCAGAGCCAACATGGCGCCGCCCGGGGCGGCCCCGTGGGGGCCGAGCGGGAGGGGGCTTTCCTAAGACGCGGGGAGCTCCCGTGCGACCAAGCCGCGATGCCCGAGTTTCGGTGGCGTTGGCGTCGGGAAACCTCTCGTGAAAGCCTTGTGAATCCCGCGACTTCTCGCCGAGAGCTCCGCAGCTGGTCTGTGCCGGGCGGGTCGGCCGGCCTCCCCGCTGTCGCTCGAAATAAATGCCTTGCCGCTTCAAGCCAAAACTCGTCTCTCGAGCGGTTCATTCTGTGCCGGAAAGTGCCCGCGCCGCCGCGGCGGGGGTCCGGGGAGGGGGAGTAAGCCGGGGCTAGAGCCGGCGTCCGAGGCGGGCGGCTGGACCGGGTTTCCGAGCGGCGCGGGAAGACCTGGTGGTGTACCGTGCCGGCGGATAGACCTGGTGCCGAAACCTCACGGGTAGACCTGGTCTCTCTTTTTAGCGGGTAGACCGGGTCTCGGTGTCCAAGGGGTAGACCTGGTGTCCGTGTCTTGCGGGTAGACCTGGTCTCTGGTTTTAGCGGGTAGACCTGGTGCCCTTGTTTTAAGGGTAGACCTGCTCTCCGTGCCTTGCGGGTAGACCTGCTGCCCGAGGTTAACGGGTAGACCTGGTCTCCTGTCCCAGCGGGTAGACCTGGTCTCGGTGTCCAAGGGGTAGACCTGGTAGCCGTGCCCGGCGGGTAGACCTGGTGCCCGAGTCAGACGGGTAGACCTGGTGTCTCGTTCCAGCGGGTAGACCTGGTGTCCTTGTTTTAAGGGTAGACCTGGTGTCCGTGCCCGGCGGGTAGACCTGGTGCCTACGCTCAACGGGTAGACCTGGTCTCGGAGTTCCAGCGGGTAGACCTGGTGCCCGAGGTTAACGGGTAGACCTGGTCTCCTGTCTTAGCGGGTAGACCTGGTCTCGGAGTTCCAGCGGGTAGACCTGGTGCCCGAGGTTAACGGGTAGACCTGGTCTCCTGTCTTAGCGGGTAGACCTGGTCTCGGTGTCCAAGGGGTAGACCTGGTATCCGAGTCAGACGGGTAGACCTGGTGGCCGGGTTTAGCGGGTAGACCTGGTCTCTCTTTTTTAGCGGGTAGACCTGGTCTCTCTTTTTTAGCGGGTAGACCTGGTGCCCGATTTTAGCGGGTAGACCTGGTCTCTCTTTTTTAGCGGGTAGACCTGGTGCCCGAGTTTAGCGGGTAGACCTGGTCTCTGTTTTTTAGCGGGTAGACCTGGTGCCCGAGTTTAGCGGGTAGACCTGGTCTCTCTTTTTTAGCGGGTAGACCTGGTGCCCGAGTTTAGCCGACAGACTCGGGGGTCCCGTCTAGCCCGTTCCTCTGGGCCAGAAGGTCTACCCGCTTCCGGGGGCGGCCGCTGCGGCCTCCGCGGCCGGGGCTGGCGCCCTGACGCCCTCGCCGCGTCCCGGCAGACGGAGCCCGGGTGTAGCCGGCTCCTCCGGGTAATCAGGTCTACCCGCTTCCGAGCCCGGGCGCGGCCGGGCGCCCAGGCCTAGCCGGCTCCTCTGCGCGATCAGGTCTACCCGCTTCCGAGCCTGGTCGCGGCCGGGCGCCCGGGCCTAGCCGGCTCCTCCGGGCTATCAGGTCTACCCGCTTCCGAGCACGGTCGCGGCCGGGCGCCCAGGCCTAGCCGGCTCCTCTGCGCGATCAGGTCTACCCGCTTCCGAGCCCGGTCGCGGCCGGGGAGAGCGGCGCGACGGCCCCGCGGCGGCCCGGCAGAGGGCGGTCGCCCAGGCCTAGCCGGCTCCTCTGCGCGATCAGGTCTACCCGCTTCCGAGCCCGGTCGCGGCCGGGCGCCCGGGCCTAGCCGGCTCCTCCGGGCTAGAAGGTCTACCCGCTTCCGAGCCCGGTCGCGGCCGGGCGCCCAGGCCTAGCCGGCTCCTCTGCGCGATCAGGTCTACCCGCTTCCGAGCCCGGTCGCGGCCGGGCGCCCGGGCCTAGCCGGCAGCCCGGTCGCGGCCGGGCGCCTGGGCCTAGGCGGCTCCTCCGGGCTAGAAGGTCTACCCGCTTCCGAGCCCGGTCGCGGCCGGGCGCCCGGGCCTAGCCGGCTCCTCTGCGCGATCAGGTCTACCCGCTTCCGAGCCCGGTCGCGGCCGGGCGCCCGGGCCTAGCCGGCTCCTCCGGGCTAGAAGGTCTACCCGCTTCCGAGCCCGGTCGCGGCCGGGCGCCCGGGCCTAGCCGGCTCCTCTGCGCGATCAGGTCTACCCGCTTCCGAGCCCGGTCGCGGCCGGGCGCCCGGGCCTAGCCGGCTCCTCCGGGCTATCAGGTCTACCCGCTTCCGAGCCCCGTCGCGGCCGGGCGCGACGGCCCCGCCGGCGGCCCGGCAGAGGGCGGGCGCCCAGGGCCTAGCCC